CTTTTCCCCCATCCCAGTTCTTTCCTTTTGAGCAGTTTCATTCCCTTTCTCAATATCAATTGCAGATTTTGTATCTTATTTACTCTTTTAGTTTCTTACACTACAGACACAAGGTGATGTTTACACACATGAGTCTCATTTATTTCACTTATGAATACGGTCTCTAGTTGCATCCATTTACCTATAAATCCTTCACAGTTGAGTAGTACTCCGTTATCCTTCTTTACAGTTGAGTAGTACTCCATTATATAAAAATACCACAGCTTTTTTATCCATTCCTCAACTGATGGACATTTGGGTTGTTTCCAAGATTTAGGGATGACAAATTGTGCTGCTATGAACATGGGTGCTCATATATCATTGTGATATGTTTTCAACACTTTTGGGAAAATATCTAGAAGGGGAATAGCTGGGTCAAATGAGACCTCTAATCCTAGTTTTATAAAATTTTATTTTAGAGGTAAAAGAAAGGAAACATATTAAGAAACAGACAACCATTTACAAAGTAGCACAAGAACAGTACAAGCAATACTGAATTACAGACAAGGTGACAGAGAGTTAACAATGGTTGTTGTATTACATATTGATAACTTCAAAGTGGTTACTCAGGAAAACAAATATAGATGTGCAAGATTGATCAAAATAATTAATCATTAACTGTTCTTTTCAGTATAGTGATAGAGGAAACTCCACGCTGTTTTCCACAATAGTTGTACCTGTCTATACTCCCACCAAAAGTGGAGAAGTGTTCCTTTTTCCTCACAGCCCTGCCAGTGTTTGTTATTGGTTGATTTCTTGATGCTGGCCATTTTTTCTGGAGTGAGACAGAATGTCAGTGTTGTTTTAATTTGCATTTCTTGAATGGCTAATGATGTTGAACATTTTTTCATATATATATTTGCCATTTGTATTTCTTCATCTGAGAAGTGTGTATTCATCTCTGATGCCAATTTTTGGTTTGGGTCTTTGAATATGGCTGGCCTGACTTTTAAAAATCTTTATATGTTCTAGATATAAGTTCTTTGTTTGAGGGACAGCTGGCTAAAAGTTTTTCCCAACTCATAGGTTTTCTTCTCACTTTGTTGTGATTTCTTTTGATGTGCAAAAACCTTTTAATAAGATGAGATCCCAGTTGTTGATTCTTTGAGGTATTTCCCATGTAGTTTGGTTTTTGTTCATGAACTCTCTGCCTACTCCATGTCTTCAAGATTTCTACCTACTTTCTCTTCCAGTAGATTTAGTGTTTCTGTTTTAATCTTTAGATCTTTGAATCTTTTTACTTTAGTTTAGTACATGGTGATAGACATAGGTCTAGTTTTAGTCTTAAGTATGTGGAAAGTCAGTTTCTCCAGCACCATTTGTTAGAGAGGCTATCTTTCTTCTAGTGAACATGTTTGGCATTTTTGTCAAAGATAAGTTGTCTGAGTGTTTTTGTAGTTGTGTCTGCATCTTCTAGTCTGTTCCATTGCTACTCAGCTCTGTCTTCTGCCAGTGTCATGCTGATTTTATCAGTGTAGGTTTGTAGTATAATTTCAAATCAGGGATTGTGATGCCCCGATGCCTTGCCTTTGTTGCTCATGATTGCCTTCGTTGTTGAAGGTTTCTTCTGTTTCCAAATGAACTTTAGGAATGTTTCCCTTGGTCTGTGAGGTATGCTAATGATATTTGGATTGGAATTGCATTAAATCTGTATAATAGTTTCAGAAGTATGGCCATTTTCATAATATTGGTTTTTCCTTTTCATGAGCAAGGGATATCTTTTCCACTTACTGATATCTTTTTTTCAGAGTGCTATGATTTTCAATATATAGATCTTTTACTACCTTTGTTAGAGTGATTCCTAAGTATTTCATTTTTTTTTTTTAATTTCAAAGGGACTAGTACATGAGACACAAACAAACAAAAAGTAGAACAGTAGCAGCATACCGGTATCACAAACATAAACAAATCAAAGCAAAAACATTCAAAGTGATACAGGGTCTCAA